CCCAGCCTGCACCGGTGGATGAAACGCACCCGTGGGCAAAGCGGAAGGCTTGGCATCTGTGCCCCCCTTCCTGGTCTTCCGAGGGGCTTCAGCATCGGATGGGAGGAGTGGAGCTCGAGCCTTCCGCTTGCCCTGCTTCCCCTGGACTAGGGCCCAGCCCTCCATGGCATTATCTGGGGGCTGGCTAGCAGGGGTCGGGTCAGGGGCGATGGCTCAGGGACTCGGGGGGGGGTAATGGTAGGGCAGCACGAGGGAGGAAAGATTCCCCCTGGGGCGGGCCCTCTCCCATGCCCAACGGCATCCCTGCCGCACCCTCCTCTAGGGGCCCCACCAGTTTACATACAGCAGAGGTGGGGCTCTCCTGCTTGTCTGGGCATGCTGTGGGAACTACCCTTCAGGCCCGAGTGGGAGCAGAGATGGACTGAGGAGGAGGAGGGGCGGCTCTGGGCACTGGGCAGCCAGGGGTGCTGGCGATGACAGGGCCGGTGCCCTGTCAGGGCTTGGGGGTCCCAGATGCCCCTCCTTGCCGGACCAGGGGGCAGTCCCTCCGGACGTGCCCCATCGCCCAGCAGAGGTAGCACTGGGTCTCCCCGTAGAATAATGCACCCGGTAACAGGCCCCCTGGTAGGGGACCAAGAATGACCCCTCGAGCATCTCTCCGTCACGTGCCACTGGTGGCAGTTGAAGCTGCACCTGCCGGCAGAACGAGAGGATGTGACGGAGGGCGGGGTCTTTGCAGCCAAATGGGAGAGGGCTGACCATGGAGATGGGTTTCCCCAGGGTGGAGAGAGCGGGTAATAGGGCGACATTGGGAAGAAAGGAAGGGACAGAGGTCAGGACCAGACAGACACCCAGATTCTCTAGTGGCTCTAGGGGGACAAACACCGCCCCCGCCCCGCCAGGCCCTTCTCCACCAGCTCAAGGGCGGCGGCCTCCGATGCTAAGAAGAAGACAATCTTTCCGTACATTTTGGAGGCTGCCACAATGGCCGTGGGCCCCACCACCCTCGGCGACGCCCGCACGTAGGTCTGCACGTGGGGCGAGGTGGGCACCAGGAGGCAACGGACGCTGTGCTTCCTGGTCATGGTGGGAAAGGGGCCCCAGCCGCTATAGACGGTAGCGGAGGCGGTGGGCGGGAGAGATGACAGAGCAGCAGGTGGGGGGGCTGCCACCACCTGGGTGCACGCCCTGGGGGCCAGGGGAGGGGCACCCACAGGGCTGGTGGAGGGAACAGCAGGGAGGGACGCTGTGGCTGGTGGCGGGGTCGCGGCAGTGGGGACAGTCCCTGCCATGGAGGGCTTGCTCTTTTTGGTTGGGCCCTTCCCCTTCTTCTTACCCTGGCTCTTCCTGCCAGCTGGGGGGCCTCCCCCAGAATCTGAGGGGCCGAGGGATGTGGCAGCAGCAGAGGTCACCCTGGTGCCTGCTGCTGCCGGCGCCCCGGCAGGGGCGGTGGCAGGTGGTTTGGCAGCAACGGTTGAGGTAGAGGCTTGGTTGGGTGACGGAGGGGCAGGCAGGGGACTGGCAGCTGGGTCTGTTGGAGGTGCCCCACCCACCGTTTCCCCCACCATAATGAACAGGAAGGGAGGGGAAAACACCAGAGAGAGGCGGGGAAAGGGGAAGCAGGTTGACCACTCCTCCCCGCTAGGCTGCAGGCAGGAGAGGAGGGAACCAAAAAGGGTGGGTTGGACGGGGGGCTATCAAGGGCTTGTGGGGAGCAGTCACTAACTCAGGATGGAAATCCGGCTCCTCTAGCTGCACTAGGGGAGGGGGGTTATAACAACGTTAGGGGGGTACAGTGAGATAGGGGCAAACTCAAACAGGGGAAGGGCACAAGCGCATGGGAGGGGGCATGGGCACGTGAGGGGAGTGGTTAATCAGGGCAAGGGGAACCGCAGGGTGGGGGAAAACAACCAGGCTGGAGGTAGGACAGGGAACCAAGGAGCTAGCTTCAGAGGCCGGGGCAGGGCAAACAAACAAAAGCAGCAGAGGGAAAAGGGTGGGGCAGGCAAACAAACTGAAGCTAGTAAGGGGGGGCTGGGGCAAATGGAAGGGCAAAAGGGTGCAAGGGGCAAAATGGGGCAGGTAGCAAGGGACAAAGCTGGGGGCTTGCTGAAGGGGGTCAGTTGGGGGCGGGGAGGGGGCATGCGCGCCCACGTGTGCTTGCAAAGAGTCAGTTTGGGCTGGCTGCTGCTTCAGGCCCAAAAGGTGGTGAAAGAGCGCAGCAAACCAAGGAAGCAGCAGAGTCCCAGAGGCAGGAGCTTGAGGCAGATGGTAAGTGTCCACAGGGGGCGGTGGAGGGTTGCAGTGAGACTCTGAAGCTAGCATAAACCGCCTGGAAGCGCGGGCCCCATGGGGACAAGGTTGGAGCTCTACAACAATGTATATTGTTAAAGGTTGACAATGTAATCAAACAATTCCTGTCTATGCTGTATTCTGTTAAATCAGAGATCAAAAGGAGATCTTAACATTTAAATGAACTGTAAATATAGTAACATCACCTGCAAATGGTGGAAGATGTTAATCTGTGTAATTAATTACCAGTGATGTTTAGGAAATCGGTCTACTTCAAAGTAGGAATTACTGCCTATTGTTCAGCTGAGGACTCCGTGCTGTCAAGAGAAGGCCTGGAACTGTATAAAGGACCCTTGGGTCCTGATCCTTTTAATCTCAAATCCGCTTATGCTTTATCGGGGAAGCATTGAGCTGCAAGATTGAGGTCTTCAAATGTATTTGGACTGAACCTATGGACTAAATCTAAGAATTCTTTATAACTCCAAAGCTCACCATCTCTGCTATGGAACTGATCTCAGAACTACAGTCATGTCTGTACGGATAATGATCTTTTTAACCAATACTCTCTCTTTTTTTTTTAATAAATTCTAGCTTAGTTAATAAGAATGGTTGTAAGTTTGTATTTGGGTAAGATCTGGAATATTCATTAACCTGGGAGGTGATGTGTCCAATCCTTTGGGATTGGTAGAACTTTCATATTTGATCTGGAAGTCTGAGAGGTAGCCAAAAGGCTGGGTTGCTTCAATAGAATATAGAATATCAGGGTTGGAAGGGACCTCAGGAGGTCATCTAGTCCAACCCCCTGCTCAAAGCAGGACCAATCCCCAATTTTTGCCCCAGATCCCTAAATGGCCCCCCTCAAGGATTGAACTCAACCCTGGGTTTAGCAGGCCAATGCTTAAACCACTGAGCTATCCCTCCCCCCTCAGTAAGGTTTGTGGAAGCTGTTTTGTGGCTGGCTTAATGAATCTGAGTATCACAATAACCATCCGCTTTGGGGATTGTCTGCCCTATTCTTTGCAGTTTGCCCTAATTGAATGATCTCAGTGTGGACCCCGGGGACCCTGGTCACAGTGCAAAGGGACTGTTTGCTCTAGGGGCAGGGTAACACACAGGTTTGAAGATAACTAGCTGTCTGGGACTAAATGGGTCATTGGAAAGGGACTGGCTGGTAACCCCATATCAGTGGAGAATCCATGAAGACAATACAAATCCGATCACTAGGACACTGAAACCCAGCAACCAGTGACCATAGATTGCCCACCTCTCTGCAGGAAGCCAAGTAGCTTTTCCCCAGCTTGAGAACAAAGGACTGCAGAGGTGTGAGGTGGATGATAAGAGCTGGCTGCTGGAGGCAGTCAGGGGCTCTCACCTGAGTCTGGCCATGGAGGTCAGACAGAGAAAGACAGAGCTTCAACCCAAGGGTTCATTACTCCTTGGGTGGGCTCTGGGCTATGCTTTAATTTCTCTGTGCAAACCCAAGGACTTCCTATGCTGTGTTCCAGATGACTAATAAACCCTTCTGTTCGGACAATGCTGTGTTAGTGTCACTGAAAATGCTGGATGAGGTGCCTGAATAGGGGACAAGTCTCCCTCAGCCGTCTGTCTCAGTTTTACTCACTGAACAGAACTCAGGGTGTGAAGCAGCGGTGCTGAAGGCTCAGAGGTCCAGTCTAAGGAGGTGGTGAAGCTGCGTGGCTGACCCTGGTGGAAGAGTGAGACCCCGAGGGGGTCTGGCACACTGAAGGGGATCCTCCTAGAGACTATTCCAAAGCAGGGCCATAGCCATGATCCTATGGATCTGTGACAAAAGAGGCCAGATTGCCCTGTGGATCCATGCCAGAACCTTACCATGGACCTCACAATGCAGAATTAATTCAGCTATGCAGCACTTAGATACGACAATGATGGGCACGCTAAAAACCATCTGAACAACAGGAAAATAAATCTGATGCACAATGGTTATCATCTTTTTACTCTCCTGTGGCTGTTCAGCATTATACATGGCAGCAGGGGCATGAGAACAGAGAATAAAGTGGATAATGGATACGGAGGTGTTCCTTGGGGGTTGTATGCTGGTTTTGGTCCCAACCTTCAGTATCTAAAGAAAATAACCCTGAATAAAATGTTAAACAATAAAGTTATTCTACTAATTCCATGGAAAGATTAATATCTGGGGAAAGAGAGAGTCTGAGGTAGAGCTAGTATTTTCTATATTGCTGATACTGGGACGACAGACTCCCTTGGACACAGTTCAGCATTTCTTATGGGCTGGCACAGTCTCACCTCAGCGTTCACATCTGAGATGTGGATGTTGGTGCATGTTTCCCGAATGGTGGTGCTAAGAGTTTCTCCAGTTTGATAAGTGTATGGATGAGTGTGGCTGTTTAGGTACAGAGATGAGTCCTCATCTCTGTACCCATCATGACCACCTCACATTCGTGAATGATGGGGACTTTCATTTCACAGGTGGACAGATGTTTTCGCAGCTTGGTACGACTGGTACCAATATGATGGAAAAGTTATCTCTAATGAAAAACATACTGATGTCCCATTGAAAATGGGAACTTTTGTGCTGATAGTGGAAATCACTCCATTTCAAGTTGGGTGACCAATGTTCCAATTTTGCTGATTAGTCATGGTTTCCTTTATCTTTTGAAAATTGTTAAGGATTTTGGACAAAGTTAAGATTGGAATTGGCCAGTACAAAAATTTTGCCTTATTTATTAAATACTGAACTTTTGTTGTCTCTTGGGTGTGTTAACAGTCAGAACTTCGTATTCTTTGTAACACTTCTCTTTGCCGTGATGAGGTAAGAAGAAAGCTTCAAACCTAGGGACTACTTTCCCTAAGCCATAACCATTCCTACCAACGAAAACGTTAACTCCTGGGTAGCTTGGAACTGACTTTGGTGGAAAAGAACCATATAATTCTTTCTTCCACTCTAGCACTTCAAAGTTATCCTCATTTACCAACATTCTGAAGTTTGAGGTGCGATGTTCTTGATCAGCATTGGAATAGTAACAATATGGACCTTTGCTTTCAGTGAAAAACCCAACAGAACATCCTGCCTCTGCACAGACATAGTCTGTGCGAGATGCCGCCTCATTCCAGATGGAAACTGCCCCACTTGGAACTGACCCTTCCCACTCAACCCATTTCAGGTGTATGTGGTCATCAAAAATGATCTGGCCCTTGTTCTTTGGAGGTATTTTGCTCTTCTCCTCCTCTGCTGTGTAAGTATTCAGTACAGAGGTCCCTTCCTGGAGGCTGGAGATCAAGAATGGTGCAGCATGGTTGCTGTTTCCCAAGGCTAAAAATGAAAAAGATGTAAAGCATATGAGTGGAATTTTGCATTTCCATTCATTTTGGGGGGGACTGGGTGCTCTCTGTTTAGTAGAGTAATCAATGCAGGGATGGGTTTTCTACTGTGGTCAGAAGATCTGCCAGTATAGAAATTATCAGTATTTTGGTAGGGTTGATGGTTACTTTGGTGGTAACCTTTCACAAATGAGACTAATCATCCAAGCCTATATGGAAAATCTCCGTTTCCAAAAGGTTCCTATTACCGCCTTCTCTATGAGCACCAGATAGAGTGATGTACTGCACAAAATCTAATGGAAGGCTGGCGGACTACACACCCAGTGATGTCCTCATTTCTCTTCCCACTACTGTCATGAAATCCTGTCCCCAAAAAGTCATTGGAAAGATCCCTATTGATTTCACCCCTTTCCTCTGCTTAAAAATCGACCTTAGTTCCAACCCTTAAGAAATATTCACTTTACAGGGGAAAGCACCTATTTCTTTTTATATTGGGTCCTTACACTCTGAAGATTTACTTAATACACCCAGCACACTGAACAAAGGTAAAAACCTGCTATTTAGTATTTGGTATTTAGGTATTTGAGACATTAAAATGATATTTTAACAAACTCTTTAGGACTTAAGCACCTACCCATGTATAATGATACATCACTGTACATATAGGGCACACTATCTGCATGTCTTCTTGCTATTTTATGTATAAGAAACAATGCAATACAAGCTATACAGAGGACCTGATCCAGAGCCCGCTGAAGTGAATGGAAAGGTTCCCACTGACTTCAGTAAGCTTTTGATCATGCCCAAACAGATTTATTGCACTAAATTCTGTCCTGACTTCCTACTGCCCTGGTAACCATAGATTGTTGTTAGCCCTGTTATCACCTGAATGTCAGGCATCAGTTTTCCAACATGTGCAAAGTGATACATTCTCTATGATGTGTATAGAATACTGATTAAACTTATTTAGAAACGTGGAGAGAGTCAGAAAAATCCCTGTAAAATGGCACTGTGCAGGTCCCTCTTTATTGTCTCAGCTAATTGATGCTCAATATGCCCTGGTACAGATGAAAAAGGTGTTGTTTTTTTTCCAGTTGCCTGCCCTGTAAGCTCAACCTGGGACCTGAGATCAAGCTGGGTTCTTTTGGGCATGCTCTTCCTCATCAGTAATATAGAGTCTGTAGTTGGAATTTAGATTGGGATTTTCAAAGGCTCCTAGGGAGTTGGGTGCCCAAATCCCTCTGAAAGAACCCCCTTCTGCCCCTGCACAGGCTACCTCGAATCCTTGGGCATGTTTACTTTGAGCCTTTCCCCTAATGCAAGTGAGCAGGTCATGGGGAGTGGGCAGAGAGGGGAGGAGACTTGGCCCCACTCGCTCCACACCTAGCATAGGAGGTCAGAAAGTGTAGGGGAAAAGTGAGAACGGCCAAAAACCAAGATGGACCATGCAAAGGAAATTTAAACCCACAGTAAAAGGTTCTATTGCCACATAAATGAAAAGATAGTGCAGAACGATGGAGAGGGACCACTAAACACTGAGGGTGGGGTGGAGATTAAAGATAATCTAGACATGACCCAACAACTAAATGGATACTTTTCCTCTGTTTTTAATAAGGGTAATGGGGAGCTAAGTATTAGTGGCAGGGAGGCTAATGGAAATGAGGATATAGAAATAGCACACACAAGGTGAAAGCCAAACTCAAACAGTTTAATTGGAGCAAATTGGGGGTCCTGGCTAATCTGCATCCAAGAATATTAAAGGAACTGGCACATGAAATTGCAAGCTCAACAGCAAAGGATTTTTAATGAATCTGTAAACTTGGAGGATGTACCCTATGAGTAGAGAATTGCTAGTTTAGTCCCTATTTTTATGAAAGAGAAAAAAGTGATTCCATGACTACAGAATTTCTAATATAGTACCTACTTTTAAGAAAGGGAAAGTGATCCAGGAAACTAAAGGCCTGTTAGTTTGACCTTAATTTTATGCAAGGTCTTGGAACAAATTCAGAAAGAGAAAATGCTTAAGAACGGTAACTGGGATAAAATACAAAATGGTTTTACAAAATGTAAATTGTTCCAGACCAACCTGATCTCTTCCTTTGAGAAGATAACTGATTTTTTTAGACAAAGGAAATGTAGTCTATCTAATCTACCTGGATTTCAATAAGGCATTTGATACAGTTCCACATGGGAAATTATTAGATAAATTGGAGAGGATGGGGATTAACATGAGAACTGAAAAGTGGATAATGGGGAGTCTACAACAGGTCATATTGAAAGGTGAACTGTCAGGTTGGAGGGAGATTACTAGGGGACTTCCTCCGGGATTGGTCATATTTTAATTAATGACCTTGACACAAATAGTGGGAGTGTACTAATAAAATTTTTGGATGCAACAAAGTTGGAAGGTATTGCCAATATGGAGGAAGACTGGAATATCATACAAGAAGATCTGGACTACATTGAAAATTGGAGTAATAGAAATGGGATGAATTTTAACAGTGCAAAGTGCGAGGCTATGCAGTTAGAGACTAACTACAAAAAAATTTCTCTACACTGGGAACTTATCAGTTGGAAGCAATAGAGGAGGAGAAAGACTTGGGTGTATTGACTGATCACAGAATGACTATGAGCCACTAATGAGGCTGTGAAAAAGGCTAATGCAGTCCTACGATGCATTAGGTGAGGCACTTCCAGTAAAGATAGGGAAGTTTTAGTACCATTGTTCAAGGTATTTGTGAGACCTCACCTGGAATACCATGTTCAATTCCGGTCTCCCATGTTTAAGAAAAATTAATTCAAACTGGAACAGGTGTATAATGGGCTACTAAGATGATAAGAAGAATGGAAAACCTACCTTATGAGGAAAGACTCAAAGAGCTTATCTTGTTTAGCCTAACTAAAAGAAGACTGAGGGAGATATGATTGGTCTTTATATCAGAGGGATAAATACCAGGGAAGGAGAGGAGTTATTTAAGTTAAGTGCCAATGTTGACCAAGAACAAAGGGATATAAACTGGCAATCAACAAGTTTAGGCCTGAAATTAGATGAAGATATCTAAACATCAAATGAATGAAGTTCTGGAACAGAGTTCCAAAGAGAGCAGTGGAGGCAAAAAACCTAATTGGCTTCAAGACTGTACTTGATAAGTTTATGGAGTGGATGGTGTGCTGGGACTGCCTACAATGGCATGTGGCCCATCTGTGACTCCTAGCAGCAAATATCCCCAGTGGCCAGAGATGGAACACTCGATGGGGAGGGCTTTGAGTTACTACAGAGAATTCTTTCCCAGGTGTCAGGCTGGAGGGTCTTGCCAACATTCTCAGGGTCCAACTGATCGCCACACTTAGAGCCAGGAAGGAATTTTCCCCCGGGTGAAATTGGCAGAGACCCTGATAGATTTCTGCCTTCCTCTGCAGCATGGGTGACGGGTCACTTGAAGGTTTAAACTGGAATAAAAGGTGGATTCTCTGTAACTTGAAGTCTTCAACCCATGATTTGAGGATTTCAGTAACTCAGCCAGAGGCTAGGGGCCTATTACAGAGGGGAGCCATTGATGGACCCATCCTCCATGAACTTATCTTGTTCTTTTTTGAACCCTGTTATAGTCTTGGACTTCACAACATCTTCTGGCAAAGAGTCCTACAGGTTGACTGTGTGTTGTGTGAAGAAACACTTCCTTTTGTTTGTTTTAAAACTTCTGCCTGTTATTTTCATTTGGTGACCCCTGGTTCTTGTGTTATCGGAAGGAGTAAATAGCACTTCCTCATTTACTTTCTCCGCACCAGTCATGATTTTATAGACCTCTATCATATCCCCCCTTAGTCGTCTCTTTTCTAAGCTGAAAAGTCCCAGTCTTATTAATCTCTCCTCATACAGAAACCGTTCCATACCCCATATCTTTTTTTTTGCCCTTTCCTGAACCTTTTCCAATTCCAATATATCTGTTTTGAGATGGGGAGACCACATCTGCACATAGTTTCGAGATGTGGGTGTACCATGGATTTATATAGAGGCAATATGATATTTTCTGTCTTACTATCTATCCCTTTCTTAATGATTCCCAACATTCTATTTGATTTTTTGACTGCCGCTGCACATTGAGTGAATGTTTTCAGAGAACTATCCACAATGACTCCAAGATCTCTTTCTTGTCCTATTAGCTTCATCTCAAACTGTGTCCCTTTGCTAGTCACTGGTCTGTGGCACGTCAGTAGGAAAAGGCTCTGGAGACTACAGTCCCTTTCGAATTACTGACCTTTTTCTTTTTCCTCCCCCATCTTGGAGGCAGATTCGTTCAGACTGATCTTTTCCAAGAGTTCTCTGTCTGCATCCATGGCCATGTCCTTCTTGTAGAATTCCAACTTCACAGAAAGTTTCAGGGAGGAAAAGTGAAAAACAATAATTGTTATTACAAGAGGAATTTTAGGTAGAAAAAATATAATTATCCAAGGTACTATCCTGTAAGGATGTCAGTTAACATCACTTCTTGAGCAAAAAAAGATAGGATTGTAATAGATTCAAGTGGTCATAGCCTTGGTTCTATGTCTTTTCCTAAAAAAACTAGAACCTTGAGTAGAATCTTACAGTGAATAGCTACAGACATATACCCTGCAGTCGTCTGCTGTGTACGCTTGCAGCTATAAAACTTTCCCAAAACACAGACCTTTACCTGAGATCCATGGGAATTTCTATCACATATCAGTATCCTCCTGTTTCCAGTGGGTGACTCAGTCAGAAACAGAAGTGATTCAGTAAAGGGCGTATAGGGCACGTATACACGTATGGCGTGCATAGGGCACGTCTACATGTATGACATGCATAGGGCACATGTGCACGTATGGCGTGCATAGGGTGCATGTACACGTATGGCGTGCATAGGGCACGTGTACACATACAATGTGCATAGGGCGCGTGTACATGTACGGTGTGCATAGGGCACATGTACACGTATGGCGTGAATAGGGCGCGTGTACACGTATGACATGCATAGGGCGCGTGTACACGTATGACATGCATAGGGCATGTGTACATGTATGGCGTGCATAGGGCGTGTGTACATGTATGGCGTGCATAGGACACGTGTACACGTATGGCGTGTATAGGGGGCATGTGTACACGTATGGCGTGCATAGGGCGCACGTACACATATGAAAAGGTTATAACACCATGGTCAAGAACGAAAGAAAAAAAACGTTGGTTCAGTCAATGATGTGACCTCACCCACCTTGTTTCTCTAGTACCCTGGGGCCAACACAGATACAGCAACACTGGAAGCCTTCTCTCCAATGTCTGGCATTTTTCATATTGTACAAGTCAATGATGTAAACATCCCCCCCCCCTCAAAACACACACACACCTACCCCTGATGTTCGTCAAACAAAGCACAGTGCTGCACATGAACAACATAATTAATAGAGAAGGGACTTTTACTTTCTCTCCATCATTGCTCACGAGACACACACCCTTGTAATCCTTTGTGATGTACTGAGGAGTTTAGGGAGGTAACAAAAGTCTATGTATAGAATCAAACCTGGGGCAAGGCCTAGAAATAAGCAAGGTCAGTATAGGGCCAGCAGGTGCAAGTGGGTCAGGAGTCATGGAGATCAACCCCATGGGGCAAGATGAGGCAGCAAGATCAGAAAAGGATCAGGACATGGAGGAGTGATGCCTTGATATGTTAGGGTTAACGAGGACACGGCAGGCTCAGGAAGCGGGGTGGGCCATAGGGTGTTGTGGATGGTGCAAGGTCAGAATCAAGCCAGGTGTGGGGATAGTTAGGGAAAGTTGTGCACAAGTGAAGAGGGATGAAAGGGAAGGCAAGTTTGGATTGTAAGTTGTAAATTGGATTGTAAGCAAGTTTGGAGGGCAGGGGGAAAGGAGTGTTAAGAGAGAAATCATGGGACTGCACTAATTTGAGCTGAGGAAGTGAGTAGAAGATGCAGTGTAAAGACTGCACAGCGTAGTGATGTGGAGTAAGAAGGGGCCAGATTATATTCTTTCAATGCTGCTAGTAAGATTCACCCCTTCTGAGATCTGTTATCTCCGCTCTACACACCTTTGGACAAAATCAACTCCATGTTTCAGAGGGTGGGGCCCTACTAGGGTGTACTAAACCTTTCTAAACTGTAGAGCTGGGAACTCAGCCAAGTTCATGTGGCAACAGGAAATACATTAGACTGCTGATTACTGCCCTGAACAAAGAACTATTGCCAGTTATCTCTTATGTACCTATTTACTACAGTCCTGTGTCCTGGCCCCCTGCGAAGTGCAGACAGCTCCTTGAGGTATTCATTCATATTGCTGAAGAATACAGTGAGATTGGACAAGGAGACCTTATTGAGGCCTGAGGGATTAACCAGGCAGACAGCAGGGGAGAGGATCTCCAGCTCACGTCATGAGTGGGATGCGGTGGGCACAGATTTTTAATACCTCCTGCCTTCATATAATTAAAACCTCTTCTAAAAAATCTCAGAAGCTGGAGATCCAAAGCAGACTTGTCCCTCACTGTGCTCTCTCCAGACTAAATTGTGATGGGCTCCCAGCACTTCCACTAGAAAATTACTCACAATTGAATAGACTTCTCAGGAAATTAAGCTTAAATGTTCCTTTGCTTGGTGTAATCCCTCAGTTCTCCATCCCCTCTTGTACCAGGCTGCACAATCCTTTTCAATCTGTACCATTCATATACCTGTAAGCAGTTATATGATATTCAAAAACAGTCTTAAAAGGATTATAAAAATTGGACTCATGCCCTTTTTTGCTTGTTTACAGGGCTCAAAGAAATCATGACCAGGTTTTTTTTCCCTAACACCAGGTCTCAACTATAAACTGACATTGGTAGAACATCCACCCCCCTGAGAGACATCATTATACTGACCTAACTCCCTGTGTAGACAGCGCTTGTGCCAAGGGAGCTACGTTCTCCCGTCAACATAGCTACTGCCTCTCACAGAGGTGGAGTACCTACGTGCTCCCCTCGGCATAGGGAAATGCTACAGTGATGTCATTTCAGAACAGTTCTGGAGGGGACAAAGGTGTGTCAGCATACAGAACAGTACATGTGATTATATTATATCTTTGAGAAGTTGGGTGAGGGCATAAAGCATATAGACTCAGGAAAAGTAGGGGGGCCAAACCAAGGTCGGGGGGGGGGGGGAACGGCCCCTCTTGCCTCATAGCAAATGAGGCCTATTCTCCCAGCACAAACATCCAGCCATCATGTCAAACACCCACCTGTCCCTATGATCCATCCCCCATTTTCCTCATATCCCCTCACCAATAACACCTCCCACCTCTAAGAACTCACCCTTGGAGTTTCTTGTGGGGGGAGATTGGGCATTCCCGCTCATATCACCTCTGAGGGTGACCACCTAGCCTGCCCCCCAACACCTTCATAGAGGGGGACAGAAGGAATCCTGTTCCCCAGCCCATACCATCCTGCCTGCCATCTTCCCAACCCTTTCTCAGACACGCTACAGGAGACTGGCTAGCTGGACAGGCAGCCCATACAGATCAGAGCTGGCTGGGAACTGTCGGTCAGAATGATTTTCCAAAGGAAAATGGTCTTTTCACAAAATCAAAATTTTCTGGAGGAAAAATTCAATTTTGTTGGGGGAAAAAAAGGTTTTTCCTCAGGAAAATTGAAACGTCCAAACCCTGACTGTCCCACTGCAGGAAGAAGGTAATACCTCATAAAGTGGAAAAGTGCTTCCGAATGACAAACGCTTGCCTATGCTAAACCATAACAACTAACACAAAATGGCTGCCTACAAAACCATTTCACTAAAAGAGTTATCAACATGCCCCCTAAAACTCAGGACAGCTTTTTTACCCCCATGGTCTGATCTCTGTGGCTTTTTTTAAAATTTGTTTGTCCTCGGTTTAGGTTATAAAAAACAATAAAAAAGAAGAAGGGGGAAAAAAGGGGGGGTCATCTTCAGATAGGCTATCTCTAAGTTTCATGCAGTCACAAAGCTACTGTTTTTGTCTTTTACAATCAGTAAATGGAATAAAATACTTGTTATAACTTTCACAAAGTATCTTTCAATGCAGCCTCACCATTTGTTAAAACTTTAACAGCGTTTAAAAAGTTAGGAAAAAAGTCTGAGTAAAAAACCAAGCAAACTGAAGGAGTGACCCCAGAGCCTTGCTAAGGCAGACTATAGTGCATGGACCACTGGCTAGCCTAATTAGGCTTATCTGTTTTTAAAATGTAGAGAAACTAATACAGCTTCAGCCTGTGCTGTATTAGTTTAATAAAATCTATGGACCCAAAACAAACACAGGAGCTTGTCTCTGTGTCTCAGCACATGGTTGCAAACATTTAAAAACCAAGACATTCTAATAATGCAACAGAAAAATTCATACTTCAATCTAAAAGTCCTAAGAAAATAAAAGCTTAATATTACTTTTGCATGGATATGTTAAAAAGGGGGGAGGAAAATAAACTTCTCTCTAATCCACTGGGTTACAGAATAAGGGGAATAGAAACTCACTCTTACGAAGGTTCAATGGCTTTCACTCTGGGGTGCTTTCTGCATCTCCTTTTTTTTTAATTGAAACAAAACATGTAAAAATGTTAAATAAAGGGCTCTGTCTTCATATAGGTTTGTCTTTTAAAGTGTTAATTCCTTTACAAAACTTAATAGAACTTTCACTTGTATTTGTTAAAAAGCAGGCGAAGAAGCAGCCGCCTTATCTCTGATCCACCGGTTTACAGAGGCTGTTTTTGCTAACAGCTGCAAAAGCATGCTGTTTCAAACTGTCCTTACTAAAAAAATGACCAGTGCTCATCTAAAACAGAGTGGGAAAACATTTTTATCACTATACATTGCTTTTATAAACAGGATTTCTGTGTTTTTAACCCTGGGTTGTTTCTGCAAACTCACATTTTATTGAAACACCTGTTCCAAAGGGGGGCATATAAAGAAATGTGTCTTCAGATAGCCTTGTTCTTCAAAGGGGTCTTCTTCTTTTCTAATCCACTACCTTCAGAAGGCTGTTTCAAGTTGTTCTCGCTAAAACATTGGGGAAAAACTTTTTCTTAGTCAGGGTTTAGGCCCTGGGATGCTTTTTTATTGAAACACCCCTGTAAGTAAAGGGTTGTGTCTTTAGGTGGGTTTTTCTTTTAAAGTGTTTATTTAATAAGTTAGAAAAGAGGGGATTTTAGGCATTACTTTACAAATATACACATTTTAAAATTGTTTATAGTGTGTGCTGGTCACCTTTTGTTACAGGGTCCAGTTTGTTCGGATAAGAGCAGAGCAAGTGGCCTCTAAAAAAAAAGAGGGCAGGAATTCTGGGCTACATGCTTTAGCTTTAATGATTAAAAAGTTTTTATTTTATATAGTAAGCTTATTTACAGTTAAAGTTACTGTTCTTTTTAGTACAAGTCTTTGGTATTATTTTGTTTTAAAAGCAGGCCTTGGGCTTTCTTATTTCTGATCACAATGGCTTCTTTTTTCACATTGTTCTTACTGACCATGTTAGTCTAAAACTTTTTTGTGTTTTTAATTCCTGAACTGTTTCTGCAGGCTTACCTTTTATTAAAACACTTATGCCTCTGGGACTAAATAAAGGAGTGTATCTTTTCAAGGGTTTATTCCTTTACAAGACTTTCACTTCCCTTTGTTAAAAAATGACAAAAGAAACAAACTTCTTCTCTCTGATCCAGGGGTTAACAAAATAAGAGAAATATAAACTGCCTGTTACTAGAAACCTGGGGTAATTCTGCCTGCTCTATTTTATTGAAACACCCCTGTAAATAAAGGGCTGTG